AAGATAGGGAAAAATACTTTTTATTTACCTTCTTGAAAGATGAGATATTGCACATGTACAATCCAAATTTTCGTGCGCGTTATACGAAGCGTATATCTTAAAATTTAAAAAAAGTAATTAGAAATTACGGGTGCGTGTTATGCGCCGGAATATACGGTAATAATAAACAATAACTGTACCTAATAATTTGGTAATTATGCCTAATAAGAAAATAAGTATTTTAATTAGGTTAATTTAAAGTACATTCAAATAAAAAATGAAAAACATTAATTGAAGTTTGATTCCAAGTTAGAGTTAGATCGTAAGACGATTGGTAATCGGTTATCTATATTTTGCTGCAAAAAAGATTTCAACTTCAAAAAATCTTTATTAATTTGCTCATCATTTAATTAAAGTAATCTTAAAAACAATACCATATTAGGGCTTAGTAACATTTATATTACATACTCGACAGTAATAAGAATATCAATCGCTATATTTTTTGCGTATTCTTAGCCATAACATGTTTAGTATAATTATTGCCTTGTTTTTATTAACTTTTATTTTAACTATCTTGTAATATTTTCAAAATATTTAGAGAAAAAAATGCATCATAGTTTAAAGAAAAACTCGTTTTTTAGTAAAATTTTGCAATTTTTTATTTAAAAAAATTGGTGAGTTATAATTGAGATTAGTACATTATAAATAAATAAGATTACTATAACTGAATCGTATATAATATAAATAAGAATTACTATAAATTGTACATTTATTTTTCATCCTCTGTAAAATTTTCTATCAGAGATTTGAATCAACGGAAGCTTTTACAATATAATCGTTCTTGAAACTTTCATAAAGTAATTGATTATTAGTGATGCATAATTAAGAAACATAATTTCATTTATTTTCACTTGTCTTCTGAGTTGGGTCAAATATAAGTGGGTAATAAAAAGAATGGAATATGAAGAACGGAAACTTTTTCAATATGTAATCGTCTTTGAATTATTATAAAGTTACAGATAAATTTTGATGCATAATTGAGAAACCTTTTTTTTATTTTTATATCTTCATCTTTGAGAATGAGAAAATGTCATATTTTTAACCTGACATCTCACCAGGCACAAAAACTTTTAAACTTGTGCACTAGTTTAAAAGTTCCAAAATAAACGTTCAGAATACATAAATGTCCATAGTTTCCCAACTTAAAAGATGGAACTAACGTACTTCTTTCCTCTGTGCCTCTCCACATGTTAATGGTGAAAGCATATGAAGTTTTGACATACGTAGAGACTTCTGCTGTACGCCACCTGTAGCCCATTTCGATCACCGGCAGAAAGCTAAAACATCGTTTTTCGTTTAGAATAAAGCAGTTATTTAATCGGACAAAAATAAGCAGCTAATAACGTTTTAATATTCCATCAAAAATATAAATAAATATAATTATTTATTATCATGTGTCAAATGTCCTTTGACGTACATATTTTTTAATTGAATTTTTATTTTTTTGTATCTTAAATTGTTTAAAAATCATATATATTTTATTCTTACTCAATGTATTAAGTACATAATTAGTTATCAAAATTTGAACTTTTCTAGACTCGAAATTGAAAATTCTTTATGTAGGGAACGTAGCAGCTCATTGTTAATGGACTGTATATTGTTTTGAAGGAAAGTTTCGTGGACTAAATTATGCACTCCCACGATTGTTCTGGACATGGTCCACCTTCTTATTCTGTTCACCAGTCACTTGATGAATTAGAATTTGAAAGAGGTATATGGGGTTCAGGTAAATTATTCATTTTCGTGCATTTACATGGTTGCATATATAGTCAAGATGTTTTAAAAATATTGAGATATATAAATTACACAGAAAAACAATTTTGATTAATGTCTGTTTATATAATAACTCTTTTTTTTGTAGTTTTTGAAAAGTATAGTTTTAATATTAGTTATAGGAAATGATAAACCTTTGTGCATTTTATGCTGATAATTTCGTTTAACAATGCTGTTTTCAGAATTTATTTAAAATAGGTCACACATCATGTAAAGTGGTGCAGTTGTTTACACGATTGGTTGAGGTCGTAAGTTCGATCCTCGCAACCAACAAAACAATCCGTGTGTATATGCTTCAAAGTGCATAATAAGTCTGTTTTGGGGAAGTTTGAAGATAGGCATTTTATTATGAGATTATTTAATTTTTAAATAATTTTTCTACTTTTAAAATCTACTAAATAAGCATATTGATGTGCAAATATGTTTCAAGAAGCAAAATTTCCTTATTACGTAGTGCCTAAAATATAACAGTTGGTAATTTTTAAAGGAAATTTTAAACTTTATAACTTTTTTTGAATTTCTTCATTGTATGCTTAGAATATATTGTAAGTTTAATACCCTTTGTTTATACTTATATTAGAAAAAAGTAATTATTGAATATGGGATTTTTTTGCACAGAATATGAACACAGTAAAAATCTTTCCAGTTCCTAGTTGTAAAACATATTCTGTAAGACCACATTTTATTTTAAGATTACAAATGTATTTCTGAATCTTAAAAAACATGCAAAGAGTATTTAAAGAAAATTATGATAATATAGCATTAAAAAAAGTTGTTCAAAGATGAATTTACATATTTTTTTAATAAATGGCTTAGGTATTCTATGTGAAAATATTTGTCAACCTGCTGTTAAAGCAAGATAAAAGTCCAGTCAGAATGACAAAAAAATTCAAATGAGGAAACAAATAACAAGTTATGAGCATTTATCACAGAAAGTGTCAATTTAATAGTCTAATTTACAAATTTTAAAAAAATTTTATAGGAGAAAGATAATGGTGCATTTCAACTTAAAATTGGATGTTAATACAAGAAAACAACAGGGGTAAGGTGAAGAAAGTCATGTACCCCCTCCCTAGGGGGGTCACTTTTTAAGCTGTTACAGATCTGATGCTTTGCGTTACGGATCTGATGTTGATACATCAGTATTCATTAGAAGTGATATTAAAACTTTTTTATATGTATAAAATGACTTTTATATGTAAAATATTTTTTAAAAAATCAAATTGAATTTTAAAAAATACATTTCTTAAAAAAAAGAAGAAAAAGATTGAGTCATAAAAAAAAAACATGATTGTAAAAACAAAGCAAAATAAACACATTTACTTTATTTCATGATCAATGACTTTTACATTATGAATTTAAAATGTTAATCAATATGTCATCATATTTTTTTTTATTTTGAATAATGAAATGGCGTCTAGAGATCGGTTGTGGTGCATCAGATATTATACACATAATTTCATTTTCAGGAACTGTAAATTTTTCCTCGGGTGATGGCCAATAAAATTTATCTCCAGAACAATGCATAAATGACAGCACAAAACCATCTTCTTGAATTTCTTCTACTGAACCTAGACNACTTTAAAATTTTTTTCTTGTGAGTAAAAAATGATTAAATTAAATGTTTTTTGATGAATTAAGTGCAAAATCATGACTATTTTTTGGAAAAAAATGTTTAGGGGTTTTATTTATCAAAAAAGTAGTGAAATTTAATTTTGGACATAAATTGACACTTTTCATGAGAAATGCTCTTATACAATATTAAACCAAATATACAACCATTATTTTAACTCACTCTGCCAAGAAAATATGAAATTGTACTGAATCGTTTGCGGTTATACAGGTATTATGCACTACTAGGCCAACTTCAGCAATTTATTAGGCAAACCTGCTTTAGCTGTATTGAATCATTAACTGCTAAATATGTTCTAACTCAATATCTCAAATTTTCAGGACAATGCTATTTTGGCTGCTATTACCCTTCTTTACATCTACTCATTAGTGATAAACCTTACTCTTTTACTTACTTGATATTCGATTTTATACATTAATTTAATTTTACATATTAATATTTTTTATTTAAACCAAGTACTCAATTTTTTCTTAGGAACAATTACACAGTGTGGTATAGCCATTTCTGGCTCGTGTGCCAACTATATCAGTGACATCTGTAACATGGTAAAGTTATGATCTGTAATATGGTTTAATATTGCCATTATAAAATTAAATTATAACCTCAAGTTATGATTTAAATCAATTTAGATTTGTTTAAAAAAAATGAAAAAGTATCTTGCTTGCCAATGTGGTACTTCAGAATACATTTTTATTTTCAGCTATGGATGGTAACATTGAAAAGTTAAACAAAATTTTGAATAATGTTGATCCTTCTTTACCTGATTCAAGTGGATATACAGCTTTAGTAAGATACTTTTTTATTATTATGATATTCATTGCTTCTTAATAACGTGAAATTTTAAAGTGTTTTCAAATTTTTCTGTTTTGATGTGAAAATAGAACTTGATTTTGTAAGTATAAGCCAGTTGCAAACTGAGGGAGCAGGAATGAAAGCAAGAATTGATAAATTTGATTTTCATCAGTAACCATGAATATGCACACATTTGCACCCCAGTATACTTAGACTAATGTATAGAAATAAGTATATATCTGTTTTCAGAATTTTTCTTATTTCTTTCACTTTCATACTCGCTCCCAGTACAGAGTTTGCAGTTGGCCATAATTGAACTACAATTCATAATAGATAGGCTATATTATTTGACTTTGCTTGGCAGTTGAAATTTTAGACTCAATTCACTTGTTAGCTTGATAAACTTTGTGGACTATTCTACTGTAACGTGGTATATTTTCTTTGGAAATCAAATTTTAAATTATGAGAAAACACTAAATAATGCATTTATTCTCTTTCAAAAAAAAATTCATTCAATAGAAAATTAATTTTTTTGAATAATATATCATTGAAATTAGTATAAATAGAATTCTTTAAAATATTAATTCTAGTAGCTTGGTAACTCATGTTACCAAAAAAATACATTTAAATTAAGAACAGAAAAATCAAAACTGTATTTCTGCTCAAGTTGTACTTATTTAAGTGTTAAAACTGTAAGTAGTTTAAATGTATCACTTTTTTCATCGTTGATATTAAATTGTTAAAAGCTCTTTTCAAATTGATATTGAAACGATTGGAGGTTGATTGCAAATATTGATAAGTCAATATCACTGTCGCCTATCATTTTTTTATGTTTGGAAAATGCACGAGAAACTTCAAATGTGATATCTCCAAAACTAGCCTAGCTCTAAACAAGTTTAGAGCCCCTATCATTCTTGCTATATGTTGTCTAATTATTTAGTTTTTCCATTATGTCTGTTCCCAAACACAAATCTGATAGCCAAAGAGGATCTCGTAGTTCTAAACATTTGATTTTTGGCTCTGCAAGATAATTTTTTATTTCCTCAATTAAATGCATAAATGTTTGCCTTTACTGAGACAGCATACTTCAGTATGTAAGATGACTCAGCATCGTCAGAATTTTGATAAAATGGCCTTGAAAAGTCAATGTTGCCGAGAAGCAGCTCGAATTCTGTCTACTATTTTGGTAATGATTTTAATTACGTGTCCAAATGGTAATATCTTACCAAACTTTCCTAGTAAATAATGCAGTGATATGACATAAAATGTGGAAATGACCCATCTTCTATACAGAGAGCAATAAAGCCATTCACGTTTACCACCATTGCTGGTGCTCCTTTAGTGGTTATCGGAGACAATTTCTGTAGAGGCATATTTATCAAACTTGCATCTGTTATAAATATCTTATAGATATAATCACATATTGTCTGTCTTTTCATGGGCAATATTTTTACTAGTTCTTCTTTTACTGTAAAATCAATAAATACCATTCTCACCATAACTGCTAACCGTGTTGTGTCTGCAATGTCTGTAGACTCGTCAAATTGCAGTGAGAACCACTCACATATTTCCAAATCACTCTTCAACTGCCTTTGCATATCTTTTGAAATGACTCCTATTCTTTTTGTAACAGTATTATCTGATCACTGTAAGTCTTGTATTACTGCGATGATCTCACGTTTGTTGGAAAAATCCCACAAATAAGCAATCAGCATCAATAAAAAATGCTTCTTTTAACAACTCACCATCCTGAAAAGCCTTTTTCTTCTGTGTTTATCATCAAGATTGAAAAAGCAAAACAATTTGCATAGCATTTTATTGAAAAATGGAAAACTTAAGTATTTTATCATTGGGCATAAGCAGTGGACACACTTAAACCGATTGACGCATGCCATGGTGCCCGCGGGCATAGGGTTGGAGACCCCTGCTTTAGAGGGTAACTCTTGCGATATCACAGATGACTGACTTTTAAAAATGACTGCATAATTGAAGTTGAATATTATTTTGACATTTATTTAACATTTACTATCATCTGGATTAGATTTTTTTTGTTTATGATTAAATAAATTATCAATTAATTTTGTTTGAGAACATCAGCTCTCACAGGGTTTAATCTGGATTTAAAAGTTTCATAACATAAAAAGCTTGAAATCAGAAAAACTAGTTCTAAATGCATTTCTATTGGTAAACTTTTAATATTTAGTTACTTGGAGAACTATTACACAACAGCTAATTAATTTTTAAAAAATTTATTAATTAGTAATTGTACTCACGAAGTTAGAGAAAACAAGTTTAATTTCCAGAGATCCTAATGTAACACAATATACAGAATAAGAATATTTTTAAAATGAATAATTTCTTCATTTTAGCCTTGATTTATGTGCTTTTTCGAGAGATATAAATACTCTATCTATTAAAAAAAAATACTCTATCTATTAAAAAAAAGCTATCTTATTCTGTAATTTGTTTGAAATTTAAACGAAATAAAAGTGAAGTATGAATAAGAATGGAAACAAAGAGAAACTTGTTTTTATTTTCTAAAGCATTTTGGCTTACAATTTATAATTTTTCTTTTTTTTTTCATATTTGCTCATTTCACAAATATCTCTTGATAGTTTAATCCACTTCCAGAGCCTTCAATATTCATCATTAATAAATTATTCACTTGGTTTATTGATTAATTTGTTTTTAATATATCTTTTTATCGAATTAAGACAGCTAAAATCCCCTTCTTTTTTTTTTTACAATCAATAGTATGCATCAGTATTGCTTCAGTCAACTGAAACTCTTTTACTTGCTCAGAACCAGCAAATGGAGATAGAAGTGCTTCCCCGCTCCCATATGCAAATTTGAGTTTTAAGAAAAGTGTACGAAATTGATCACACCGCATAATCTTAGATTGCTAGATTCGAAAAGCCTTGTTTCGCAAATTATCGTGTGCGAAACGAGTAGTAGGATATGGAGGGATAATTACGTGATTATACATATGTGGCCACGGTCCTGATAAGAATAAAAGAGAATTGGCTGATTAGCTCGTCAAGTCTTAAAGTAATCCATACTCTTGTACAGTGCGAGAGAATCTGGTTTCTGATTGCAGAACTGTAAGCTGATGTGGATGAACTCCTACTTCTTTCTCAGGGAGACATTGTGAAGGGACTGAGAGAAGGGTTCTGACATCTAGCATGTCACATTTTCGCATTGTTGAGATCTGTCAGGTAGGCTGTGGGATGGACCTGCTTGGAGTTGCTGGCGTCGCATGTCTGCCAATTTCGGGGTCACCTCTCCCTTATCGTCGGTGGAGGTGGTGCAGTACTGGCTGGTCGGTGTCCCAAACTCGCTGGAGGCTTTCACTTCTTTCTCGAAAGTGGCAATTGTTCAATATTCTTATATATCAAAACCAACTGCTTTGATATGGGTATCGTCTGCTTATACTTCTATGGTTAGTTAGGAATCTTTCCTTGACGATATTGATTAAGAATACTAATTTAACATATTAATCGAAAAAAACGAGTCTATTAAAAAAAATTGTTTTAAATAAAGATCTATTAAAAAAAACTTCTTTTGAACAACTGTTTGTTCTGGAACTCTCAGTAAGAATGAAAGCGACAATAGGAAGAAAGATTGTGGAAGAGCGAAGTAGGATACACAAAAGACGCATGGTGAGTTTTGAAAACAAACTGCGTTTTTCTTTTTTTTAAAAAAAAGAAGGAAAAAACGAAAATTAAAAAATGTGTTTTACCACATTACAGCAATTCTACCTTTTAATTTTATTAAAGTCCCCGAATCCAGTATTAATTTCTCACTCTGTTACAGTCCATCTGAAATTAAGTACCCAAGAACAGATTCCTGTTTGAGAAACATAATCCACAAAACTCATAAATTGCGTAGGTAATTTATTAGTAAATTTTTTTTTTATTAGCATTATGGTGCTAGAAATGGAAGAGAGGATGTGTGTAAACTTTTACTTGTGAAAGGAGCTAACCCGAATGCACAAACTAATGGAGGTGCTACACCGCTACATAGAGCTGCTTATGTCGGCAATTCAAGAATAGTTTCTATGTTGCTACTTCATAAAGCTAATCCAAGTATCTGTGATAGCGATGGAAAAACACCTCTTCATAAGGTAATTATAAGCTAAAATATCAATCAGAAATTGTAATCAAGTTTCACTGCTGCGTGAACTTAACAATTTGTATTAATATCTAAATATGGCCACTTTTAAACAATATTTCATTGTTTAAAAAAATTTTAAATTCTTGATGCATGTAGTTTGTATTATTAATAATTGTTGTGTATTATGTTTATTTCTTATGTTTTTCTATCTAATGAAACTTTTAAGGGGTATGATTTAAAGAAATAAATCTGCCAAATTTATGTTATAATAAACAATACATATTTGATATAAATGTAGTGCGCTCAGATAACATTTAAAAAACTAATAAAACAAATTAATTCCCATAAGTATAATTTAATAAAACCAAAATGAAAAATACAATACTTTTGTGCACATTATTGTAGTGTTGCTACAACTCTTGAACAATAGTAATACGGAAAACGCTTTCTAGCTGGTTCTTTGTAATTGGTTTGTCTTACATTTCTATTCTTTTGTATTTTAATCATACAGCAAAAATTTTTTTTTTTTTTTACACCATCATAAAAGACAACCACTTGCTCCTTCTCTATCTTTTTTATTTCTATTTCTCCCTGATACACATGACACTTCTCAGCGCCATCTCTTTCTTTTTTTTTTTAATTAATTAGATGCTTGAACAACTCTCTTGTTATAACCTGACTTTTATTTACAGGTAACTCATTGATTTGAATTTGCATATCACTTATCTGCTTAGTTAGGAGCGTTAAAACATTAACTTAATCATTTGGCATATCATTAATTTTTTGTAACTGGGTGGAAGGTGTTAAGAGCATTTACACTTGAATTTAAAGTTTGAAGTGAGTTTTCTACTCTACTTGAAATTTCAATAACTTCATCAAAGGATAGAGGATTTAAAAGAATCACTTGAGCTTTCATAGCTGGCTTTAAGCCATTAATATGTTGCGACAATTTTACCTTTTCTTGAAAATCTATAGGGAAATTTGTCAATCCCTCAATCCGCATAGCAAAATCCTTAGCCGTTTCACTTGTCTTCAACTCAGCTGTAGAGAATGCAGCAAAATTTTAAGCAAAAGATGTATTAGGAGTAAAATAGCTTTTAATTCCTTTCTTCGGAGAATCGTAATCCATAGCTTTCCCTTCTAACGAGCTTTTAAAAACTTTCTTAATCGCTCCTTCCATTTTTAATTTTGTTATTACCATTAGTTGTTTTTTCGACCATTCAGCCTATTTAGCTGTGGTTTCCAAGGATTAATAAAATAATTATAATTTCATCATTTAAGGTTGGGATCAGAGACAACAGAAATGGGGATTTCAAACTTTCAGCCATTTTTAGAATAAAGCAACTTTAATACACTGTTAAGTTAAAATATATGTGTGCACATAATTAGGCCAAACAAGTTTTTACCATATGGTCCATAAATGCGATAAAACTTGAACTCTCCCTTCATGGCCAAATGAATATGAAAATTTTAATACAGTAAGGAACCGATTATCCGGAACGATCGGGACCATCGCTATTCCGGATAACTGATTTTTCTGGTTTTCTGAATCGCTACAAAAACCCGTTTTTTTATTGTTAAACCCAACTCAAAAAAAAAATTGGAAATAATCTTAAAAAGAAGAAAAAACGAAGTAATACACTAATGATTATTTCCAAAATGATGGTAAGGTAAACATCTTTCAAAAAAGAAAGAAAAATCCTGATATCTTATGAGGAAAAAAAAGTTTTTTTTTTTAAATGGGGAGGGGGGGTATCGAATTTTGTTCCGGTTTTTTGGTTTTCCAGTTTTCTGAATTCCGAATAACGGGTTCTGTACTGTATTTAAATATTAAGCAACAAACTTGGAAATCACATTTATCACAAATAACAGTCAGACCTTTTATCCTTGTCACGGCACCAAATGCATGTGACAATTCGGGTGATATATACGGGAATAATTGACAAATTAAATTTTTTTTTGTGAATTTTTCAAAGGAATAGTAGCAAGTTAAACATGGCTACAGTCAAGTATTAATGCTTTCAACAACTATAGTCTACTCCAAGTCATCACCAATACATACAATTTCAGCAAGTTTGAAAATTTGTCCAGAAATGAGGATCACAATGGAGAATATTGATATTGATGAACTTAACTATTACGATACACTCATTGCAACAAATTGACCATGTATAACATAACAAGTTAAACAAAAATAAATCATTATATAATAAGCAAGTTTAGAGTGTTCACTCAGTAAGGAAAAAAATAATTACTGCTAGAATTAGAGTCAATTGAATTACAGATATTAACTTATCTTTATCATGTGGATGATCTAGTTTGAAATAAACATTGGAGCTAAGAAATCATTTGTAGATGTCATAATTTTCTGGATATATGCATATACCTTGTTCATTCATACTGCAGCATCAGTTCAGGGTGGTTATTATTTTTTCGTCAGAATTTTATGTCAAATTCTCTGTTCCTTTCCGATAAAAATCATCTATGCCTCTCCTCTCTAATCTTCTCAGGTTGAATCTTTTAACCCAAAATTTTGCAGACAAGTACAGCTTATTTTTTTTAATAAAGAAGCTATCTCAAACAGACAGTCAGGGCAGAAAGAGCCTGGCTGATACCCATAAAATGGAAACTACGCAATTTGGTTTTTCTATAATCTAGCAGTGCAGTCTAAAAAAATAAATTTAAAAACAGTAATGTTTCAATAAAAGTTAGGCTATAACAAGAGAGTTGTAGCAACACTACAGTATGCATAATTAATTATTCCAACAAAAATATATGTATATTCTTAGTTTTTCTAATATTTTTTTTAAATTAACTAATTTAGCTACTATACATCAAATATAAATTAGCAGGGATCTGTAAAGATATATCAGTATTTAGCCTGTTCTTTTCAAATGAATATTTGTTTTGATTGAATAATTAAGTCTTCACCCAAATTTTGAAAACAAAATCACTCACATTTTTAATAATTTCAAATACATGTTTTAAGTAACACAACTAATGGATTACTTTTAATGTGTTACAAAACACATTAAAGAAATTTGAACGTTTACTAAATTTATAATAACCTTTTATTTAAAAAAATAATATAATGTAATTTTTTGAATAAATATAAATTTATTGATTATTTAATTGCTAAAAAATAATGTAAATTATCAGTTGTAACCATTTTCCAAGGAAAAAAAATAAGAAAAATAAAACACTGGGCTAGCTCTAAAATTATTTATTTATTTATTTAATAGCAGAGCACAGAAAACAGTTAAAAATTACTAAAAAAAAAATTAACAAACCGAAACTCACGTAACAGTAAACGGAGAGATTATTTTGAAGATCTTCTCCCATCAATTGCCGTAGTTCAACTCAAACGTCTCGCCACATGATGGCATGGTCGCAATCCATATTTAAAGTAGTTCTGTTACACAGTTATTTAATATTGCTAAAAATATATACATATGATGCTTGTAGAAGTAGAAATAATTTCTGAGAAAAGTGCATTTGGTTGTATAAATTTTGTATTTGATTTTAAAAGGGTTAAGCTACAAAATTTAAAAAAAAGTGAAATCAACTTACTTAACATTAGAATTAAAGCAGAAAAACATATTAACGAAATATTCGAGCAATATATGTTTGCCAGTTGATTTAAAATATCAATAATAGCTCAACACTTAGCATAATTTAATTTTTCTGCTCATTTATAACAATGCACAAATATCTTCCTAATATCTCTTGTTTCATTCTTGTTCAACTCAATGCAAACAAGAGTCATTCTGGAAGATAATCTCTTGACAGAAGATGTCGATAAGGGATAATTAAAGACAACGTTAAAAGCTTTTAAAAAAATTTTAAAAAAGTTCCCCAGCAATGTGATTTGTTTTTCAAGGAATTAAAAATCTAAATTATTTTTGATGCACTTCTTTGCTTTTTTTTGTAAAAGATAAATTATTTTGCGAAGGATTTGTTTGAATGAAAAAATATTTAATGAAGGGTCTGTTTTTATCAATGAATATTTGGAGAACGGACCATTAACAGACTCAAATTTCTTCTTAAAAGACCCCCGAATTCTAATTTTTGTCTAATTGCAGGATAAAGCAAGATTATGTAAAAATGTTCTAATGCCTTGAACGTTTTTAATTTCATTGTTAATAATTATTAGAAGAGACAATTTTTTAAAAAAAACAACAACTTAATTCTTAATTCAGAGATCTAGAGATGGTGATTCATTCCTAGGAGTTACTTTGTGATAAACTGAATTAATAGAGAATAACCCGTGTTTGTAACAGCATATATATATGTTTTTTTTTTCCTTCTAATTTAGGCTGCTGAAGGACAACATCATGATGTAATTCAAATGCTGGTTGCCTTTAGTCCAGAACTAAAACATGTCAAAGATAAAAGGGGCTGTACTGCTCTAAATTACTTAAAAGATCAATGTAAACTCAGCGAATTATTATCCTGATTTGAAAATTGTAATTGTACATAAAAAATGTTTTATATTTTTATTTCTCTCTCTCTTTTGTTTTTAACTAGTTCTGTTTTGATATCACAAAAAATTTATATTTCTCTTATATCTAAAGTACTTCTGTAAACTTTTGGCTATGGCTAGTAAGATTAAAAAAATTCTCCTCTTACCACAGCACTTTTTTACTGAAATTCACCCCCCACTTAGTTTGTGGAGGTTACTACTTTAACCAGTTATGAATTGAAAATATTTCGTTGCAATTTGCACCTCATGTTCCTAGGAGGGAACAAAAGTGGGGTTGTTGACCAGTAGTTAATTTTGTCTTACTTTTTCTGTGATGTAGAGAAAAGTTAAGACATAATTTTTTTAGATGCTTTTTCGAAATATATCAAAAAATTTTCTAAAAAACAAGCAAGAATTTTATAAATTAATTTTTTTTTTTTACAAAACATGCATTTTTGGTGTTAAACCACTACAAAAGAAACATTACTTTAATTAATAGAGCCTTGTTTAAAGTTTTATTCTTGTCTTTGAGTTATTAACACATTTATCCTGTTAGATAATGTTAAAAAACGAAGCTTTCAGAACTGTTTGAAAAAAGATGTGAATAAAACAGTGAAGGGCATAACTTTATTGTATTTTGTTGTATATTGTATTATTTCAGTTATCCGTTTAAAAAGTGATACCAAATACAAATTTTTATTACTCAAATTTTTGTTTGATTATTTTATGTATTTTTCCTCTTTAAGATCGTGTATATATATTTTTTTTTATTTCCAACGGAACATCAAAAAGATAACAATAAATCTATAAATAAGAGCGAGCAATTCAGTAGCGTTCCCAGATAGATTTCCGTGGGAGAGAGGGGCAGCTAGACAGGTGAGACGAATCGATTACCTCGTGGAGGTCACACAATGTATAAAAGGAACCATGTTGATGCGACATCAAGTAATTATGGATAGTTAATAGGCAACAGATTTCATCCTACTCCACTGAGGGATATTGAGAATCTGTTTGAGCCATGGTTTATTGGAATTAGGATTTTTCAGTTCCTCGTGATTGAGGCCTTGAAGATGTTCTTTATGAGACTTTTGATGTTATAGAAAGGTAGTCTGGAATTAGATCTCTGTAGGACAGAGGCTCCCTTTTTTTGCCAGGACATCCCTTGTTTCCCTGGACATCCCTTGTTTCCCTGGATTCCACAGTGGGCCGAAATCCACTGGAGGGCCTCTATCTTGTCCAGTTCATTTGCGACAAGCTGTGAAGGCCCCAAAAAAATATGTTTCTCAGAAAACTTAAAGATAAGTAGTTCAATAGTTTATCATATGGAAGGCATTTTGAAAAATGGAGATAATTTCATTGTGAGTAAACTTGTTCAATGTCACATATTAAAAACAATCCCATAGATGTTCTCGCATCATTCCATAAACATTAAATTTTTCCACTCGCACAATATTTATTTTAGAATAAAGAGAAAAATTTTGCATAAAATTTACGATTAAAAATTTTTTACTCTATCTAAATCCCCCAGGGGCACACTCTTGTGTGACGGGTATGGCGCACCCGGGGCCCCGAGCTGGACCTGAGCATTTTTCCATTTCTCTCTTGCGACGGTCCTGTTTTGAGTTTCCGACTTTTTATCAAACATTTATATTGACCTAGTGAGCGAATTTCATTTCATTCGAAAGCACTGTTTATCACTTATTTACAGATTATAGATCTTCAGATTTTTGTTTGTTTTTTTACCGTTTTTGTCGGATTTCCTGATATGTTTCACCCATTTATTTAAAATAGCCAATTTTTCCCTAAAGCATACAGACTAACAACGTTAGCTTTTGCTGACCAGCACGTTTGCCGTCTGCTGCGTCTCGTAAGGTGGAGACTGGGATCCTGGGGTACCTGTCTGCTTTCTCATACGAGTGTGACTCCCAAGGGGGCATTTTCATCTCGGAGTTGGTAGGCTGCGTGCTCTTTGGCCCATGCTTCACTGTAGACGAGTGTAAGGAGGCTAGGTTCCCCTCTCTTTAACAACCGGCTAGTAGAGCATGCTTTGCACCCTGCTAGGGACTAGTGCTGCATCAGGGGAGTGCCCCTGAACTCTAATAGTTTTGACGGATCCACGCTCTCCTGGTGTAGTGCTATACCTTGAACTACCCTGGACAGAGCACTGAGGCTGAAGATTTCAGAGCCAGTGTGTCTATTACCCTTGTTAGACACGATGGTGGGCATGGGAGTGTCCAGTTGAACTTTTCCGTGTACTATGGATACAACCAATAACACACACAGTTTCGAAAAGACAACATATGCATTTGATTTATCAAAATGCTCAAACTATGACGCAGCAAAAGCAAGATTTCTCAATTCTAAAGGCAAAAAACTTAGTACATACAATATTACCCTTTATTGTGCAAAAATTCTTAGAATCCCAAATTGGAAACCCTAAAAATGTCCATCAGTTGCCTTTCGGTGATTTACTAGTGGAAACCAGTTCTAATACCATGTCAATTCTAAAATCGCATGAAATTGATAACATTCCCATAACCGTTACTCCTCACAATTCTCTTAATATATCAAAAGGTGTCATTACAATGAAATTTACAAAATCTTTCAGTCAGCGAAATCGTTGAAGGTCTTTCCGATCAAGGAGTCGTTGACGCAAGACACATAACCATTAAGAAAGGCTAAGAAATATTTACCACACAGCATTTAATACTGACATTTATCTCCGCTACTCTACCAACCGATATTGAAGTAGGATATTTAAACTGCAAAGCATGCCCCTTTGTTCCAAATCCTCTTAGGTGCTTTAAGTGCCAAAAGTTTGGAAATTCAACTAACAACGGCAGAGGTAAAGAAACTTGCTCCCGCTAGAGTGAAGCCGGACATATATTCAAAACCTGTACCCAACTCGAAAAATTTATAAATTGTTCTGAACCTCACTCTGCGAATTCTCGCCGCTGCCCAAAGTGGAAACAGGAAAAACAAATAATCAACATTAAAGTGACTCAAAATATATCATACACTGAAGCCAGAGCCAAATTTCTAAGTTCCCAACCAAAACCTTATCTCTCATATTCTGCAGTCGTAGCCAATAATAATAATAATCAATAGGTATACAATGTGATGTAAATAAAATTGAACCAAATAATCTCAAAGCGTTGCCTAGACAGGCATCCAACACATTAAAAGTTACCTCCCAATCCATAATCCCTTCGACATCTTCGCAAATCACTTCTGAAAGCCAAAAATACTTGAAACTAACCCCACAATTGATAAATAATTTTGTCAAAACTAGAGTGATTTAAAATTAAAAAATTGTTTACAAGTTCAGTTTCTCTGGAATCTTCAGTCTTTTTCCAGATTTACTAAGTTTCAATGCATGTTTGATGTTGATTGAGTCATTCAACTGATCCAACTGCTCGGAATGGTCCATTGACTCTATGCTGTTCTACAAATATTGTATTATACTACAGTTTTGACCTTGTATAAGTAACAAATTAAAATTATTCTCTGTTTGAAAATATACTCCAGAATGTGAGATATTCCTTAGGGTCGCCAGAGAATGTCTTCAATTCAAATTTCGGTAGTTTTAGTTTCACGGCATTATCCTCTAAAGAACTTTTGGCGATGGATCCAGAGTCCTTATTTAAAAAAGTTGCGACTTTTGCATCTAGTTCAAGATAATTATCTCTATAATTTTCCGCTGCTTCGAAGTCAGTTTCGTATTCAACAACTGTCTCAGAATTTTCTAAAAGTACTGAGGATATTTCATTTTGAATTTCATTCAAACGAGAAAATTTATCTTGCAATTGTGACCTTAGTGCGTGCAACTGATTAATATCCTTGGCAACAGTTTCCGGTGTCGCCAAATATCGCGCCAACTTATTCGACGTGGTCGTAAAAGTTGTTCTTAATGACTTTCTTTTCACTTTAAGAGCATCCATATTCTTAATGTAAATAATATTTAGTCAGTTTATTAACTAAATTCACTTAATAAGCCCTCAGTTTCTCTAAATCTCGAGTTATTTTTCGTTCTTAAACTTAATTCAAATCAAACATATAAACTGTACATAAAAGAAGACTTCGTAAAAAAGATATAACAGAAGCAGCCAAATTCAAAATTACTCGTACCTATTTAATCCTTGACAAAGTAATATCTTGTTCGTAAATTTGCCGTCTTCTAATTCACTTCAGAATACAGAGTGCAATGTCCTGTCACGGACGCCACTTTTTTATGACTCGAGATTCTTTTGCTTCTAATTACTTTATTTTACAATACAACACTCAGAATAATAGGACTATTTACAATATATTATTTACATTGTTTGTTGGATGCATAAACTTACATTATAAAGATGAAAATCGTATCGAATTCTCTTAAACGCAACGTATCGTAAGTTCTCTAACTTAATATTATAACATAAAATATAATTGTCAGATTCACAAACTCTAATACAAAATTAACTAGAAGAAAACATGACGGAAATGTTAAACTTAAAGTGAGTGGCAACAAGGACCATCTGAAGTTGCGATTTCCAATGGGTATATTCGTTGTATAGGACGAAGCTTCCCTTTAAGCTCTTCTTCCTAACATTTTATTTTTAGACAATTTTCTTCTAATCTGTCATTGAATTCTTGCTCTCGTACTTATATCTCTGATAAGGCGGTCCCAAAACTTTCAATCTTAGGTCTCAAACTATCATTTTCATTCTTTAGTCCAGTGTCGGTCTCGACATTTGAATCACCTTTACTGGAAAAGTCTGAACAGGAATCTGGTCTAAACCAACTAGCTTCACATTGAATGCTTTTTCAGAAAGACTAATTGGTTTCTGTAAAAGAAAATGGTCTTGTCAATAAAAGAAAAATATATTAATTAGAACCGTTTTCAAATTCCGTTTAAGTTTTCATAAACGCTTATATTAAGGCATGATGTTATTTCATCAAGCTTGGAGCTACTGTATGTGGCTAGACCATCACACATTCGCCCATTTCATGCTCGCACACGCTCACTTATCCAAACATTCGATATTTGTGAATTAC